ATCGGCAAGAGGTGGAGCAGCAAATGGCACCTGTGGTCGAGTGCTGGGAGGCGTTCAGCCGGTGCTGTCGGCTGTGCTCGCGGGCAGAGTTCGTCGAGACGGACACCAACCCCGACATTATGAAGAAACAATGTTCGGGCGACGCCTCCGAGACGGCTATACTCCGGTTCACGGAGTCCATCAACGGCTCTGTCGCCGAATACCGGCGCCAATACCCCAAAGTGGCCGAAAGACCGTTCAGCTCGTCCTACAAATACCAGTTCTCTATACATAAGAACTCTGCCCCTGGAGCTGATGGATCCAACTTTTTCCTGGTGATGAAGGGCGCGCCGGAACGCATACTACAGATGTGCGGCACTTATATGGAGGCCAACGGACAGACACAACCCATTGACGAGCGATTCGTATACGGCTTTGAGGAGACGTACCGCAGTCTGGGCTCAAAGGGCCTCCGAGTGCTCGCCTTATGTGACTACGAGTTCACGCAATTCCCGGCCAATCATAGGTTCAATTTGGACGAAGAGATGGGCTTTGAGCTGAAGAACCTGCGATTCCTGGGTCTGGTCGCTATGATTGATCCGCCCCGGTATTAGCCCCCCTCCAGTCCCCCCTCTAACTCCGACCGCATGTCCTTTTTGCAAATGTTTACGCATTTTGTGTGTGCCTTCCCTTCAGACCCACAGTACCCGACGCGGTGCGCAAGTGTCGCAGCGCCGGCATTAAAGTAATTATGGTGACCGGCGACCACCCGATCACCGCCCAGGCTATCGCCAGATCCGTCAACATATTCTCGCATTCACACCGTCGGTCCACTCGGATATCCATTCTGGCGACGGACGGCCAGATCCGCAACAACACGGCCTCTATAGTAGTGCCCGGAGAGGACCTCTTGGAGATGTCGGACGACGAGCTCAGGGATGTGCTCAACGACTACCAGGAGATTGTGTTCGCGCGCACATCACCGCAACAGAAGCTGAGGATTGTGGAGAACTGCCAATACTTGGGACAAATCGTTGCCGTCACCGGCGATGGTGTCAACGACTCGCCCGCACTCAAGAAAGCCAACATTGGCATAGCTATGGGAATCACCGGTATGTGTAGCTCTTTGTGGGGCAGACCGTGAAAATATAATTTTCTTTATTTAATTAAACACTTTCTGATTGGATAACTAAAACAGGTTCAGAAGTATCAAAACAAGCGGCAGATATGATACTATTGGACGACAATTTCGCCACAATTGTGATCGGAGTGGAAGAGGGAAGGCGTATATTCGACAACATGAAGAAGACGGTGTCCTATATTATGGCGGGTAGTGTCACAACACTCTACCCGTTCATAGTGTATGTCATATTTGGCTTTCCATTGGCCATCGGCACAGTGACGGTGCTGTTGATCTGTTTGGGCACCGATATGATGCCCGCCATAGCACTGGGCTATGAAAAAGCCGAATCAGATATCATGCACTTAGCGCCCCGTAATCCCAAGATCGACAAACTGGTCACCGGTCAGCTTCTCCTCAGGGCTTACCTACTCATTGGGCTCATCGAGACGAGCGCCGGCTTTTTTGGCTATTTCCTAACATTCCTGAACTATGGCTATGGGCCCACATATCTGTGGCAGTCCAGAGCACACTGGGAGGACACTGCTAGGAATTCCACCAATATTTATGGTGAAGTCCATGTTAGTAGTGACTGACAATTGCTATTAATGGCAACAAGTGATTAAAAATGTGTATTTGATTGTATGGTTTGCAGAATTATGAGCAGAGAATGGAGTTCCAGTACGAGGCACAGAGCGCCTACTTTATTGTCATAGTAGTCGTCCAATGGATTGATGTCATCATTTGCAAGACTAGACGACTGTCTATATTCCAACACGGATTCGAGTAATTAGTTTTGTTTTGATTTATGTTAATAATTATAATGATTAAATAATTTGTTTATATTTGTGTGGAAATAGCAATCATTTCCTCACATTCAGCCTATTCTTCGAGACAGCGATGTCTGTGTTCTTCTGTTACACACCGAAAGTGAATCAAGTGTTGAGTCTGAGACCAGTTCACGGTATGGTTTGGTTGAGTGCTGTCCCCTTTTTCTTCTATATCTTCATATTTGATGAGTTGAGGAAACTATTTATCAGAAGATTTCCCTTTTCTTTCTTCTCCAAAGAGTTGATTGTTTAACGAGTTTAACAAATATAGCATACATTCTGTAATATTAATATTTTTAATACAATCACAAAAACACATTATTTATTTTAACTATTTTTTATAGTATTGTTCATACCGGTATTTTAATGCATTTATTAATTATCGTAAAACATTTATGTATTTAAATATTTTTTCTCAGAAATTCATATACAAATTTGTATAAATCTAAATAACCTTAATCTACATTATTATTATTATGACAATCATGATGGCAACATAAAACAAAGTCTGTTTATAAATAAATGTCTGAATTCTTTTAAATTATAAAATTACATATACAAATTTGTATAAATCTAAATAACCTTAATCTACATTATTATTATTATGACAATCATGATGGCAACATAAAACAAAGTCTGTTTATAAATAAATGTCTGAATTCTTTTAAATTATAAAATTTTAATCAATTTTTGTAAGATTATTACAAATATAATTTATATTACTTACTACAGTATTTTACTGTACTATTAGTATAGATATTTTTAATTATAAATTAAATGACTAAAAATAAATCAATCATTTCTGATTNATAAAATTTTAATCAATTTTTGTAAGATTATTACAAATATAATTTATATTACTTACTACAGTATTTTACTGTACTATTAGTATAGATATTTTTAATTATAAATTAAATGACTAAAAATAAATCAATCATTTCTGATTTGAATTGTTATATGTATAAGTTATATAAAACAATTGCACCTATGCAAGTTCTTATAAAAAAATTTTAAGCAAGTACTTCTATTATAGATTTAATTTAAGCTATTTATAAAAATGTTAAATTATTGCTGAATCCTAATGAAATCCATGGTTTATTAATTAATGAATCATTTCTTTGATCAAAATTATAACCATTTTTCCTCAATAACTAGAGTTTATAAATATAAGTCATCATAAATTTGGTATAAAAGTGTGAATGAAAATATTATATAATATATTCTGTGTATAAACCAAAATATCTGCGATAAGTTAATGACAATAAAAATATTTCTCACCTAAACTTTGTTTTTTAATAAAAATATTTTTGTCCAAACATTTGTGGCAATTATCTCCATAATGAATGCCTCAATAGAAAGTGTCAATTCAAAAGACATTCACGAATTGTCTGTAAATTCCGTGAAATACTATTTATACGACTATTGGCTTAAGGAATGCGATCCCAGGACTCGTATGCACTTCATATCACGCGGTGGGCCCGAGAGATGTCTGGCCATCATGTTGTTGTGGTTACTGTTTGTCACCAGAATTGGACCAAATATGATGCGAAACCGAAAGCCAATGGACTTACGGTCGACTATGTTTGTGTACAACACTTTTATGGTACTATTGAATGCCTACTTCTTCGTGTTGTCCCTCCAATGGCTTAATTACGGCCAAAAGCTACTGGAGTTTGAGTTCCCGGCCAGAGATGACTACAGTCGGGAAACTCTGAACCAAATCGATGAACATGTGATGTACTGTTACACCAAATACCTGGACTTATTCGACACAATATTCTTTGTTTTACGCAAAAAGAATACTCACATCTCATTCCTCCACGTCTACCACCATTTCGTGGTACCATTGCTAGCCTGGGTCAGTATCAACTTAGTATACGTTTTGTAAATTTTGTATTATAAAACTGAATATTATATAAACTTTTTGATACTTTTATGTAATTGAATGAAAACTATGTTAAACTAAACAATAATGAACTGTTTATTTAGGTGGTACTGAAAATAGCGCCGACAGTGATCCCGATCGGTGTGTTTGCATTACTCAATACGTTTGTCCACACATTCATGTACTCGTATTACGCGTTGTCGGCATTTGGTCCCAAAATGCATAAGTATTTGTGGTGGAAGAGGTATATCACCATCGCTCAGATCATACAGTTTGCTATATTCATCACATACGGTATATTCAGTATATTTTTGAGTAATGGCTACCCGAGTGGTCTGTATTGGTCAGGTATGTTACGAGATCATGATTTACCAAGATATTGATTAACCCATAACATTTTGTATTTAGTTCAATTGCAAAGTCCTTTATTTTTGTATCTATTTTGGAATTTTTATAAGAAATCATATGTAAAGCCATCGAAAGACATGATTCACAAAATTGATTAATAACTAATTTTTTAAAAAGTTTTTTACTGGTAACTAAAAAATCATATCATTATTGAATTTATTTATAAGACTCGGAATTATGATGATTATAAAATGTAAACAATTTAGTTTTTATTAATATCTGCTAATTAAATATTTGTTTTAATTATATTTTAATTAAATTGTAAATTATTTTGATTATATGTTGTAGTTATTAAAATTAAAATGATTCTATGTTAATAATGTACTTGGGTAGATTATTTTTTAATACATATATGATCATATTATGGTATAAGATACTAATGTTGTTTTAACTGATTTTAAGTGATAATAAACAAAGAGTTTGAGGAAAACACAATTTTAAATAAAATCTAAACCATTAAACACCAAATATTTAGACCCAAATGAGTTCGTCTAAACAAAACTGCTTTTGAGATTCAATTAACTTATATTTTGACCCAATTTCTCATAAACTCATTGGCGATCAATGCTTAAGAGTATT